ATTGCAGAGTTTTAGTTGATCGTGGTCGCCTACTGGAGCAAGTGGTCGAACTCCAGAAATTACGTTGGTTGAGGCATAATTTACGCAAAGCACAAAATAGAAAGCCATGGTGTGCTATGTCTTTCGACGCAGGTGGCGGTTAAAAAATTTAAAGGGTTGCTCAACTAAAACTTGATGCGTTGGTATGAAAACCCTGACCAGGATAATTGCTCACATAGGTTAATATAGACTTCCTGAATGGAAACTTCGGGATCAGCGTAATCAATGGTTAGTGATACTGAGTGAGATGACTGCGTTATAAGCAATGGTGCTCGTGCATTCTCTCAATTTGTTTACAACCTTAGTCTACCAGAATTCTCCGTTTTGTCTTCAGCAGTACCTTAACTTTCCCGTTCTCCCTTCTTGCACTTTGACTAAATTGGCAGAAATATAATACTTATCACTGTACCACTGTACTTTTTGTGCCTGGCTTCGAGTGTGACAGCTAAACGGAGCTATTATTTTTCTTCTATCGTCCCTGAACACTTTCATTGCGAGCTCACTTACTGAAATTTTGTTCTCCCCGCCTGACACATCTATACTTTTTTTCAACGCTTTGAAACGTTTACTAAATTTCTGAAAAATTGAAAAGGGACTAATAGGTATTTCTCTCACATTATTGGTGTACGGGGAAATCGTTTGACCAAGTCTACTTTCAAGTTCCACCTTCATACACAAAGACGGCACACGTCTTCCACGCAACGGAACCGGATTTAAAACCCTGAACGATTCGGTGGAAATGCACTAACAAGAGCAAAACTCGAATGCAATAAATTCCAACCTGTATTACCTAAGTGAATAAACTAAGCTTTCTGCGTAAAGTGGACGTTTGGAGAATGATCAGTCAAATTTTAATAAAACTTATTCTGTACAACTATTCACAAGCGGTTATGAGTTAGATGTGATAAACTTTTTCCGAATACCAATGAATTTAGCGAATCCTGAACGATGGTTGCAAAGAACCAGAACAGCAGTTCTTGTGCATAATTAGGGTTGGAGTAAAGTGCGGGATAAAACCGAAATCGCCAATCTATCACGTCCTCGATTTCTCGGGGGTAGGGGTCCCATTCGTCATTCACTGGAGTGAGTGACATTGAACCTAGTGGGCTACTTTGGATGTGGTTGGAATCACTGAATGATTCATGGAGCTTTTTACTGGTCACTGCCCGATGTTCTTTTCTACAGAATTGGCAGTTTATCTTTTTGATATATCCATAAATATATATTTCAATTTGTATGATTCGGCATAGATCACAATTTAATCTTATTAAAACTTTGAAAAGTGCATCTTAGAAGTCATAGATGCATAAAAAAACACGTCAATGCATGAATTGCATTACTCAGCAGCATTTGTTGGTGCCTGAAGCCTAGAGTACATCAAACCAAGACTGGTCTATATGATTCAGTTAATGAAATGAACAGAATTTAATGAAAAGTATACGTTTTTTGGTAATTTTGTTATGATCAAAAATAACCATAGATTTCAACAAGTTATTCATATCGATTTCACGCACTTCAAGAGTTTAGCAAGCACACTGAAGAAAAATGGTCGAAAGTGATAAAGACTTCTTGTTCGCAAGAAGAAGTAATCAGTTACAGACATTCTTTCTTTCTTTTCTTTTCTTTTCTTTTTGTTTTTGTTTTTCGCATCGTCAATTATGTTTTTTCACTATCAATTAACACATCCGACTTATGCTACGATAAGATAGTCTTCCGTTGAGCAAAGTAATTTCACTGCATCGTTTCCGGTGGCTGAGACACGTCCTACCTGAGCAACGTCAGCAACACTGTGCACTATTCGCAGACATCGATCCAGGCTCGGATCTGGCCTCTGTCGGGGCTTCCCGGCTCCTCGGCTGGTGCCCCAAAGATCCAGATTGTCGTTGGCTCGAAACAATGCGGGATATGGCATCAAACCGAATTCAGTGGCGTGAATGCATCCTCTCTTGTGTGCAATCCCAAAAATAAACAAATTAACGAAAAAATGTCAAAATGGCGTGCAGTAAACGAACCAAAACTTTTTTATTCCTCAAGTCGAGTGATTTCGTTTTCCCTGCCTCTGTTGCTCTCTTTCGCTCACCCCTGGTTATTTTGTCACCGTATCTGTAAAGTTCAGTGTTTATATATATACATATATATATACATGCTTCCAGGGAAATTTTTTCCAGTCAGTCACATACTACTTATTATGCAACATATCCGATTTATCGTTGCAATGATGCAGTACATAACGCAACAATTACCTCACGTAAGAGTAAAAACGACTGAACCATTTGAACTCCGCACGTGAAAACTCAGATGAAAAACACAGAAACTGCTTGCATAATTCACCCTACCAATAACATTCGGCGAACTTTCTCATTCAGTCATGTAATGTATCTTTATTATATGCTCTTTTATTACCTTGAAAGTACCTAACGCATCACCACGAAAAAAATAGCCTCTTATACAACTGACCACCAGGCGGTCACTGATCCAACGATGCAAGATATTCTCTCTCCCAAATCAATTCGTCCGTGAGAGAGTACAATAACACTGACTTCCGGCTACCATCGTATGCATTCACTTAAACAAACCCCTCCTTTCAAGGACTCGTCAAATTAAGATGCAAGATACCGTACGCACACTGAATGCCATCTTAACTTGATATAGGGATATCATGAATTAATTGAAAAAGGTATCCCAACCGGTTTGTTGTCTTTCGCACCGCGTGCCCAGAGCGTGCAATACTTTAAAGATCTTCAGCTGGTCACGCAAAACAATTACTATCACCTGATATCAGGCGCCGCAATCACGTGAAGATACCGTACTTGCACCGACCGAGTGAAGTTTGTCGAGTACCTTTTATTAATCACATGCAGATACATCGGGAGCAGCTAAGCGATGAAGATACGAGACACGTAAATACGGAAATGGTCGACATCAGAACAAGTATGAGAAATGTTGTACAAAGGAATATAGTGTTTGATCAGAGATTTTCCAAAGAATAAAAAACATCTTAAGTAAATCCTTATTCGCCACTGTTAACTCACTTTGGCCTCTCGTTGTTGATCCGCTTCAGCGATTGCCTTCGTTTCCTCTTGACGAGCCAACAACTGTTCATAAGCCCGTGACTTTTCCAATTCTTCCGTGATCCTAGTCTGCTTCTCAAGCAAACAACGATTCAGTTCTTCCCGTGCTTTGATTCGATGTTCAATTTTCTTCTGATGTTGTTGGATGCGCTCTTCCAATAGTTGCTTTTGAAGTTTGATCTGCAAAGACAATAATTATTACGTCACATTTCTGTACTTTTTCGCATTCGAGCGTCATTCACAGAAAACAGTACGGGTAGAATTGCAGTAAAGTTACAAAAATATCAAATTCGTTTGTCAAGTCAACTCAATAATAGCTTTATTCACATGTAACAGGATTTTCAGCATTTTTGAAAAGCTATTACTGGGTAAATGATTGTGTTCACACAACTTATCATCGCCATGTCGGAAAATAGGTACATCTCGAGGGACGCACAACTCTACAAACTGATGGAACTTGAAGTTACAAACTGCCTTCTTTGATAGAACTATCGTCGAAAATGGTACTCGCAATGCTATGGGATACGCTCTGCAGAGTACAACCGAAAAAATTGATAAATATGACTTACACATAAACATTCTATTGGTAGACTCTTAAATCGTGTTGGAGCCGAATTTTGCTTTATATATATATATATATATATATATATATATTCGTCACAACAACCGTGTCTGCAACATCGGATGACCATTGAATAGACAGCTCTTTCCTGAGTACAAGTACATGAATGAGCTGACAAAAGATTACCGGATACGCATGCCTGACGAGTGGCAAGAACCGCGAAACCGGTCGTGTGCTTCCAGGGCAATTTTGTCCAGTCATTCACATACTACTTTTAATGATATATATATGCACAACTCTCATCTCATTTTGTTCTCTAAGATAGAATAGAATAGATTGGTTTGGAGTAATCCGTGGCAAATGCTTCCGGAAGTTTTCGATGAAGTAAACAAACAAGGATCGCTTTTCTTGTTCTAAATATTCTGTGTAAACCGTTTTCCATCATCCTTTCCCCATTCGGACTTTGGCAGAGGCACTTGTCTCTAAACTAGTCTGACTAGATAAGCAAAAATGTANNNCCAGATTATGCAATAATTATTAGTTAATCGCGGCCCCATACTGACGAACGTGCGCGGCCAAAATAGACTTCAGTGGTCCGGGTAGAGCGTTTACGCGTTATATGGAATAGACTTCCTTCGTGGGTGGTATTTGCATTGGAACGCATATAGTAGTCGAAAGAAGGTTAAGGACGGTTGGAATATAACCTCGTATGAGTGTAGGAAAACTGCATTAAACTTCTCTTGTTTGGGGACCTCGTGACCAACCTAATGGATGGTTCGCCACACCACGTCAAACGGTTCAGTTTCACTTAAATTAGTGTTTATGCCTCTTTTCAATTTCGATACAGATCTGGTCTACCCATATTCTGTATCTTGATCTTGCTACTACATTCAGCTCCATGAAGCTTTCCTCATTGATCGATCAAATAGGAAACCAGAAGATAAGAAACCAAAATCAGTTCATGGAAGCTGAAGTTGATTGACTCAATAAAAGTGGCACAACCTACTGTTTGCTTTCGCAATGTAACCCTAGAGGACTATTTACTCACCAAGTCTTCTTTTTCTTTCTGTTTCAACTCCTTGTCCAGTTCGTTGGCTTTTATCTTTTCCTGAACCTGTTTTTGCAACTGCTCGGCCAAAAATCTATAAAAATGAAAATGGACCAGGTGCCAACTCAGCGAGTTTGATCAAACAAACTTTGCCCGTTCTTGTTTCTTTGTTTCACTTGCATCTTCAAGTTGCGCTCGTTGTTGTGCCTGTTGTTGTTCGGCAAACCAGTTTGCCTCCTCCTCAGCCTCTAACCTCTTCTGTTCCCGTTTCATGGCAATTTGAACCTTTCGGTCCTCCGCAATCTCAAACGCCTTTCTTCGTGATAATTCCGCCCGTAATAGATCGCATCCCTCACTACAAATTGGGAGAAACGATTAATCAAACACAACATTCGCTGAAAACAAACCGAAATTGTTGATCATATTTTTCCAAAGCTCTAACCCGATCTGCCGCTTGTCGTTCCGCCTCCAATTGGGCTGCACGACGGCGTGACTCTTCGTAGCGTTCTCGCATCTCTTCCACCGGGGACTTCTGCTTGGCCACGAACTGTTCCTCCTCCACCCGGAGCTGTTCGCGCAGTTGCTCTCTGTAGGTAACCGGAGGGAAAAACACATCATGTTAGTACGAAAGAAACATATTCTAAAAGAAAAAAAATCAAACTGACCGATGCTGTTCTCTCGCCTTGCGCTGCTTTTCCTTAACGGCTGTGAATCGTCGAAGCGTTTCCGCTTCAATCAATTTCGCATGGGTTTCCTCCTCCCATCGAGAACGCAGTTCACATTTTTTTTGTTCTCTTATCCGCGCTACCTGATCACAACGCTGTTCATCGGCCAGACGGGATTTTCGCCATGGATCGAGATGAGACACTGACTTCGGGGGTTTTTCACGCTGAAAATAGGAGGGACACAAAGCACATTCGTACACCTGTTCGGGCAAATAATTAAATTATTTCGCTTTGTTGAATGTCACTTCCGAGAGGTCTGTCAATTATGTGAATCGATTACGGAGAGAAATAGCGAACTGGCTTTACAGTCATAAAATTCTATCCGGTGAGATGATGCAAAGAACGGAATTGAGCTTCATTTTCAAAAGCATTAACTTGTGTACGCATACGACGGTTTGGATTACTATACTGAAAAATATATACACTAGCAGATCTAAATAACCCAACACGTAATCTAATGTTTTATAATTATCAGAATATATATTTTATATCATGTAACGGCCGTCGAATGTGTTGTGTTCGGACTATACGTACGAATGACACTAACGACTCTTGCTTAACCCCACACGATAACGCGGAGAGAGAACATAGCTTGAGACAACACTCAGTGTGTCTCTTTGATCAGATATCGATACGCAAATATATAGAACAAATCACGCATACGAGAGCGGCGCAGTGACGCACCAATCAGATTGCGTCCTTGACATATCGATTGATCGATCGGACAAACATTGGCTAACACTTTCTGTGATCATCCAATCGGGTTCAGCCTGTCTGGTGCGTTACAAGCGTGCATGTGGCCTGACTCGGAGGTCTGCGCGATCGGACGGGTTGCTTAAGCTCTGTCGTAATACCTTCCCTTTTGAGCTCGGCCGCTGGTCGTAGGATCGTATTCTCGGGTTGATTTGGAACGGCTTTGTTGCTGTACGCTTGCGACCCGTTCATCGTTGAGGTTGCTGGGATTCTTCGGACTTTATTGAGGGTGCTGGATTTGTGGCTCATGGCTGGGAACTGGTATGGCGAATGTGTTCACTAATATATGTCCAGCGACAATTTCGGTTCGGGGTTCGGCTGATCATTGCAGGCTGTCGGTTTCAGCTGTTTAGCGTGCCGCACCCACACTTCAGAACCAACTAAGATTTCGTAGATGACCTTTCCCCGGCGTCGATAAACCCTACCAAATGTCTATCTTTCTTCGTTATTGTGGTAGTCCCAAAACATTTTGGCCTCGCCTAAACGATCGGTCCAGCGTACCATGGCGGCGGTGGAACTGTAGCTCAATTGCTGTAGGGCGAGCGATTTCCAAGGGTGGTTTGCTCTGACGCTCCGGGAGGATTACGTCAAATGGTGTACGAATTTTTCTTCCAAACATTACCTCAGCCGGAGACGCACCGTTCGGGACATTGGGATTTGGTTTTCCCTGTAGNCCCGTTTGGATTTCTGAAGTGCTCGCTTCAAGATGTCCACGAAGCATTCGGCTTGACCGTTTGACTGTGGGTGGTAAGATGGCGTACGGACGTGCTTTATGCCAGCTAGTTCACAGAAAGCAGAGAAAACAGCTGGTGTGAACTGACCGCCATTGTCACTCACCAGCGTCTCTGGAGATCCGAACCTGCTGAACAGTCTACGGAGAACATTGATGGTAGCTCCGATGGTTGCACGTTCCATTAAGAAAGTATCTGGCCATTTTGTGTAGGCGTCAACCACGACGAGGAAATGGTGCCCACTGAGCTGTCTGGCAAAATCAACATGAACCCGTGACCATGGGCTACCGGTTTCGGCCTTTGCTGGAATTTGGTCTTGGCAGGTGCCTTGGCTGCTTGGGCACATTTGAAGCAGGAGTGTCCAAGCTCTTTGATATGCTGGTCCATGTTGGGCCAATAAACGTAGCTTCGGGCGAGGGCCTTCATGCGGTTAATCCCTGGTTGGCCAGCCTGGAATTGTTGTAGAACTCTGCGTTGCAGTGCCTGCGGGATGACGACGCGTCCGGAGAACAAGATGCCACCATTGTTATAGATTCTCGATGGCGGTAAAACTGCTTTAGGGCTCTGGACATGTGCGTTAGCCAATGTGTGCGATGATAGTGAGCGACTTGTTGCAAAATAGTATCCTGTCTGGTTTCCCGTTGTACATCAGTAAAAGTGACAGGTGGTTGCTCGTATTGTGTCCGTCATTTGGGTTTGCATGTCTGAGTCCACCGACACAGACGTGATGACCGTGTCTTTAGGCTGCTAACTCCGAGGGTCAATGAGGCGCGAAAGATCATTTGCCTGCCGATTTTCGTCGTGGATCGGAACCGTATTTCGAAATCGTATCCCAGCAACATAGTAACCCATCGCTGCGGTCGGTTAGCTGAGTAAATTGAAACACCTTTCTTCGAACCGAAGATCGCGATTAATGGTTTGTGATCGGTCAAGAGTGTGAAGTGGCGACCATATAACATCTTGTGGAACGTTTTTACGGCGAAGATAATAACAAGGGCCTCTTTTTCAATCTGGCTGTAGTTACGTTCGGCTGGCGTCAGGGATCGTGCAGCATTTGCAGTGGTTTTTTCTGGTCCAAATGGGAACACATGCGAGATGACGGAACCAACACCATGGTTTGACGCATCGGTAACCGCTATAATTTTCAGTTCCGGATTGAAGTGAGTCAGCAGCATATCAGAGCGCAGCACTGTTTTGACACCTTCAAAAGATTGCTGGCATGCTGATGTCCAGTTCCACGTTGCATCCTTTTTCAGCAGTTCGTTCAGAGGAGCGAGCAGGCGGTGCATGTCTAGCAGAAAGGCAGCGTAATGGCTCATGAGTCTTAAAAAGGACCTTAACGAAATGGCATCGTGTGGCGAAGGCATTTTATTGATGGCCGCAATGTTGGAGGGATCTAGGCGACGATCATGTCTAACGATGATGAATCCAAGGTAGTTCACAGAAGGCATGACGAATTTACACTTCTTCAAACGTGGGTGAAACCCGAATTCCCAGATCCGTGTCAGAACACTGTGCAATCTTTGTGAGAGTTCGGTGGGTGTCTTACCAATCACGATTATATCGTCCGTATAGGCAGCAGCCCCATCAATGCCTGTGAACATAGTGTCCATGACTTGTTGAAAGATCGCGGGAGCGGTCTTTACACCGAAAGTAAGTCGCTGGTACTGGAACAGACCACGGTGGGTGTTAATCGTCAACAGTTCCCGTGAGTCCTCGTCGACTTCAATTTGTAAGTAAGCGTCTGCTAGGTCAAGCTGGGCGAAGCAGGTGCCGCCGCTTAGCTTTGCGAACAAACTGTCGGTAGGGGATACTGGTGGGCATCCAGGGCATCGTTCAGGCCTGTTGAATAATCGGCACAGATTCGAATGGTACCGTTAGCCTTTTTGACCAAGACGATGGGTGCAGCCCAGGATGAGTAGTTGACTGGTTTGATTACACCTGCAAGTTGGATTCGGTTGAGTTCTTTGTCAACTGCTGGCAATGATGCGTATGTCACTGGGAGCTTAGGTCTAGAAAAAAGCTTTGCATCCGGACGGAGGCACAGATGAGCCTGGGTCTTAGTGCAACACATTGGAACACTGATGAAAACTTCTCCAGGAGGGTTGCAGTCAGGTTTGCAGACAAGTGTTCGGTAGATGACGCACTTTCGGTGTATAAGGACACATGTTGACAGACGCTGTTCAGAGGCACATCCAGGAGATGGAACTTTTCAATTCAGTCGAGACCCATCAAATTCAAACAGGGTCTCTTGGTAATGTGACAGGTTCCTTTAATCTGCATGTCGTTGAGTGAAACGTCAAACACAAACTCATCAATGAGACGCAGTGGTCCACCAGATACGTTCAATGCTTTCCTGTTGGTCAGATTGAATGGGGGTCGCCCGAGCGCGTGCCAAGTTCGCTTTGAGATCAAAGTTATGTCACAAGCGGTGTCTATTTGTAGGCATACTGGCTCACCATTGATGCGGACAGTGAGATATTTGCGCCTCTTTTCCATTTCAGGTTCGACAGCAGACACGGGCGCTTGACTTTTGGGTTCAGACTTGGTCGACTATGATTTGCATCGTCTTGGTTCGTAACATCCCTTTGACGTAGAAGGATGTTTCGAGTGACAGTAGTCTTCTTTGTCTCCTCGTTTGCGGCATTTTGACACGTGTTTCTTGAAGGGACAGCAGCGTGTTTAGTACCATTCTCCGCATTTCCAACAAATTGTGGGGGGGGGGGGAG